TCGTCCTTCTGGATGACGAAAAGCTTCTTCGTTGGCGGCGACGAGGAGAGATGGTTGTCGCCCTGGAGAACTCTGGTGGGGCCTTAGCCCGGAGACGAGATGAGATGTAGGCCGGAGCTCGTGAAGATCTGTGGTGGAGCCGAAGATGGGCTCGTAGCCCGGATGATATGTGTGTTGGAGCCGAAGCCCGGACGATATGTGATGGGGGCCAAAGCCCCTGTCGATCTGAGTTGTATGGATTTTCCTTCGGTTTATATCGGAAAATTCCACTCGGCTCCCCGAGTTGTTCAAAAGCTGTGTCATAAAACCTTCCTGTGGGGGTGGACCATCTGCGTCCGTGTGTGTGTCCGTTCGTGTGTTTCGCGTGCGTGTTTGTCCGTGTGTTTATTAGCTTTGAAGACACAGCTGTGTGTGTCGTTCTGGAAGAAAGGGGGTGGGGGCCTCGTGTCGGCTGCTTCAGAAGTTATCCATTAGCCAGACCGATGATTCGCGTTGAGTTAAAAAAAAACATTCGAATCCATGTTTTGTTACTGAATAACATTTGTCGCGAAAACCTACGCGTTAAGCGAGCTTAACTATTCACTCCCTTGCTCTGGGATCACATCCTTTGTCTCACACAGCTTAAGTTGGTTTGGTTTGGAAGTTGAAATGCGACTTATTTGCTGCTTGGTTATGCCGAAACAGTGTTCACGATGTTTCATCGTGACCCGATCTCCCATGGAAATGTCATTTCCTGGTTTGTGCAATTTTTGCTGTCCGTGTTGTGGGAAGACAAAGGCGGTTGTTTCCACGGTGGGAGCACCCGGCGTGTTTATTTATTCGAAGGCGTGTGTTAATTCCCTTTGAGCCCTTGCCCCAACTTTTATGGGTGTCATTTCCTGGCTTGGTGCCTGTGTGTCGTGATCCTCTCGGAAAGACAAAGGCGGCCGTGTTGCTCGCTTCCCATGGGTGTTGTGTTTGGTTAATTTTGAGAGCCTTCTCCGCCCTTGATTCCTCTTCTACTTTAATTCCGTACTTATTATTTGACTTCTTGTGATTATTTGATCTGATATCCCGGCTAGGAATTTTGTTTTGGAGCGAAATCGATGCCATAATTATTCTTTGATGCTTCGGCCCGGCCGTGTAGATATTCTTTAAAGGTAAATAATGTCAGTATTTATTAACAATGATGGGTCGCGATTCTGGTTTTGATTGTCGTCTGGTTTTCAATTGGAGTGAGGATGGATACTGTTTGCTTAATCTTTATGGTTAAGTTGGTAACTTGTGTATTTAATATGGTTCAAGGACCCATCTGTGCTTTTTGTCGTCGATGCTGTTTCTTTGTTAAGAATATAATTATCTCTTCCTCCGTGTCTCCTGGTTCTGCAACCCCCCGCCTGCAATTCCCCCCCTCCCTTGTTCCTCTTGTGTGAATTTAGGGGAGTTTTTTTTTTTATTACCTTATTGCCCCCCCTTTCATGTCCTCTTTCCTTTGAAATGAGGTATGCGCGCATCTGTGGAAGTGTGGGGGCCTCTGTGGAAGTGTGGGGGCGTGTTCGTTCCCACGTGGCCGCGTCTATTAAAAAAAACGATATTATCTATGTTGGCAGAATAATTCTTAAAAAAAAATATTTAAAAAAAATAAAAAGGGGGCATATACACAACAGTCCGCCCTTTTGAAAATTATCAGGGGTCGATTTGGCCACTGGCGAATTTTCAAACAAAGTAATGCCCCCCTTTTTTTTTTGTCATGAATCCCATCAGCCGCCCTTACTCTCGGCGGTTATTCTTACGACGCGCGTGCACGTATTACGATCTTAACCTTATTACATTTGAAATAAGCAAAGAAAATAAACAACACGTTGAACATCGATATTGAGTTACATCGGTTCTCATGCATCATAACTACGGCGAATATAAATGTTTTTTTTTTTTTTTTTTTTTTTTTTTTTTTTTTTTTTTTTTTTACGCTTGGTAGCGGTTTCGGTGGTTATTTCTTACAACGCGCGCGCAAGTATCACAGTCTTAACATGGTTATATTTGAAATAAGCTAAGAAAAGTAAGGAAGAGGGAGGGAGAGAAAAAAAAAAGGTACATTCTACTGGTTACGTTTCCTAGGGGTTGCGGTTACTGTGGCTTCTGTCAGTTGACCTGCCCTCCCCCTTTTCCTGTTTTTTTTTTTTTTTTTAGGCCTTGGTTCCTCCTTTGTTCCTGGGCTCGAACGGTATGTGCTTTGTGCCTGCGATTAGTCTTTTAAGCTTGGCATTCATCTTGGACACGTGGTATGCTAGGGTTAGGATAGCCATGGCTAGTATGATCATTCCAGTTGCTCCGGTGATCCCCAGTCCCATCTGTTGATTTCGCTGGTGTCCGAATTCATCGGTTGCCCAGGTGAGGTCAGTGACGTTAATTTCTGAATCACTGATGGCTAGTCTCACGGTGTGGAATTCTTTACTGTTTAATAGGTTCGACAGGGCGTTGCTTATTTCAAACTTGTGGCTCCTGAATATGTTTACTGTTTCTACATCTGCTTGATGTAGGCCTTTGTCCAGATTATATAGTACTTTATCCCCTATGTGTACGAATGTTCCTTTTGGTACCGTGACTAGCACGACAGGGCTTGGTATCGGAACTTTCATGGTAACGGAATGTCGATCGGTGGAAATGGTTGCTGTATCCAGAGGCGTGCTGACTAGCCACTGGGCATCAGCTATCATGGCCACTGTTTCGGTTCTTTCTTTAGGTTTACTTAGTTTGAACTTGCAGGTCTCTTTGAGGCTTTGGGTCGCCAGTCCGCACATTATTTCAGCTGTATTGATTAGGAAGGGTTTGCCTGGACAGAGCCAATGGACGTCTTTCATTATCTGGCACATGGTTAGGTCGGGTACTAGGTATTTCAGGGGGCTTTCTTCTTGGTAGGCTATTACGGAGGGTGTCTCCATTTTGGAGTAAATGTCATTTCTCCATGTACCCACATTTAATACTGTTCGTAATCGGTATACCTGTTCGGGTTTGACTAGTGGCAAGTTTAACAGGAACGCCAGTTGTCTGGTTTGGGGGTTCACATATATAGGTGTGGCTGTACCCATGTTAAATGCAATTTGTACTTGTGTTGTACTGATTCTTTCTAGGGAGGCTGTTTGTAGCACGTTTTGTATCAGCGTTGGAGTTACCAGATACGAGGGAATTTGACCTTGGATTAGATCACTGATGCTTCCGCTGATGCTACGCAACAAGTCTTGGATTACCCATTGGATTGGTTGTCGAAGATTTTCGTCTTCATATAGGTCTCGGAGTGTATGCCCCAGTTCTTGGATGGTTAAGTTTAACATGGCTGAATGTAGGTTGACCAGAACTATGGTGTCTCTAAGGGTGGAACCCATTTCGATTAAGTTTTTTTCTTGGTGACGGATTTGTCGGCGGATTTGCAGCATATCGAGTTGTAGGTTTTCGATGCCTTGCGTGAGGTGTCCAATTTTCACGGCGTTGGATATAGATACTCCTAATGTGATTAGGGAGCTAAAGCCGGACAGGACTCCGAAGGCCACTCCCAGGCCGATCGATCTCTTGGTCCGTGTGGTGTTGAACGTGACGGGGGGAAGTATCATGGTTCTCTGTAATTGCTCCAGGATCGTTTTGATATTCAGTTGGCTGTATTTTAGGAAGCCATGGTACCAAACTATGGTTTCTGTGGTGGCCGAGGATGGTAACTTCCCGAAATGTCTCTCTACTGCCAGGGCAGGGTCTAATGTAACATAGACTTGTTGGGTTACTATTTTCGTTTCAGTTACTAGGAAACCGGAAGAATCTCTCAGCATCACCCCGGATTCTGGTCCTGGCTTGAGTAGGTCTTGGCTGCCTTCTAGCTTGGTGATGCACGTTAGCAGGAGCGTGAGTAGGAGGGCTGCCATTTCCTGGAAAACATTTATACGTTGTTTTAATGTGATATCCCCACTCCTTAGTTTCTTCCCCCCTTTTATTGTACCGTTACATTTACTTCCCTGGTTCCATCTGCACAGGGTACAACTTGATTTGGTTGATGTGTACCCACTTGTATTGCTGCTCCCTCCCCGTCTTTGTAATTTTTAATTGGTACACGACTGGGGATATTTTGTCAACAATCTCGTATGGTCCTGTCCAGGAAGGGAGGAATTTCCTGCATTTTTGTTTTCTTTTCTCGTAATTGAGGTACAACACCTGATCTCCTAGCTGATATTCTGCATGGCTAGCTTTTTGGTCGTAGTATGCTTTGCTCCCTTGAGCCTCGGCTTGCAATTTGTCTCTGACCATCGCGAACGTGTTCTGTAGGTGGCTGTTCAATCCGGTTATGTATTCCGTCGGTGTCATTGCCGTCGTGACCTCGTCCTCCACTGGAACGTATAGCAGGTGTACTGGAAGGGTCATCTGTCTTCCGGTCATGATCTCGAAGGGTGTCCTGCCTGTCGCCCGGTTGGGGGTGGCTCTAATGGCCATCAATACTAGGGGTAGTTTTGTGTCCCAGTCGCGTCCGGTAGTGGACACATATTTTTTTAGGAGGCTCACAATGGTCCTGTTGGCTCTTTCCACCTGTCCTGAGGATTGTGGGTGGTATGCGACATGTAGTTGTCTTTTTACTCCTAATGTCTTCCACACTTCTGCAATTACATCGGCTGTGAAGTGGCTTCCTTTGTCAGAATCGATGGTTGACGGTAGGCCCCATCTACTGAATATCTGGTTGACCAGTAGGGTAGCTGTCGTCTCCGCGGTGTTGTTGGGGGCTGGTAAGCACTCCACCCACTTGGAAAAGGCACAGGTTACAGTCAGCATGTATTTGTTTCCTTTGGTTGATCTGTTGACAGGTCCTATCCAGTCGATTTGTAGGTTAGACCAAGGGAAGTCTGTCCCCCTTTTCTGTAGGGGTGCTCGGTGTTGTGAGTTCGTTGGTTGGTATTTGCAACACACGAGGCAGTTGGACACATGCTTGTGTACGTCTTCACCCATTTTGGGCCAGTAGGCCACCTGTCGCAACATCTGTCCTGTGTTCATCTCGCACCGATGTCCGCTACATGGTTCATCGTGGCGTGTTGTAGCATTGTGTCCCGATATTGCAAAGGAACTACCCATCTGGTTTTTCCGTCTTTTTCGTTTGTGTATACCAGTAGCCCTTTCCGCATTGAAAATCTTCTGACTTGGTTATGCATGGTCTCGAGTTCCTTGTTGTTGTCCAGGTTGTCTGTCGTGATTGGTTTTCCTGTCGGATCCTGGATATGGTCGGCTAGCGTCTTTATTGTTTCGTCCTCTTGTTGCATTCTGATCAGGTCTTCGGGAGGCTGTGTATTGCTCAAGTGAGCTCTGGTCCCAGTTTCTGCTGAGTTCTTCCCGCTTCTTGTGACCAACCCTATAACGACAGAGTCTGAGTTCGTCGGCTCTTCTAGTCTGTTAGGTTTGGGTTGGTCTTCTAGTTTCCAGGGGGTGCCTTCCAAGCTTCCTAGTTTTGCTAGGGCGTCTGCTCGGTCGTTCCCCGCCTTCTCCTGGCCTGGTATCTTGGAGTGCCCTTTTACTTTCCTCCAAAATATCTTCATGTCGTTCTGCTGGATCATAGTGTCTATGGCCTCGAACAGTTCTCGATGGTGGATCGGTCTATTCCTATGGTTCTTCATGCCATTTTTCCTCCATATGGGTAGGTGGTTTAGGAAGCTGTATTGTACGTAGTCAGAATCGGTGCACACCACCATGGTCTGTATCTTGTTATCGGCTGCCATTTGGAGGGCAATGTGTACCCCAGCTAGCTCTGCATACTGGTTTGACTTCGGTCCCAGCTGGAACCCCTCTTGGATACCTGTGAGTGGTCCGGATTCCCACATGATTCCTGCTCCGGCGTGGAGCTTGTTTTCTTTCATTTTGGCACATCCATCGATGTACACCTTTGGTATGTTGGCACATGTTTCTTTGTCAAAGGGGAGGTGCTGGCTGTCATCGGGAGGTACCCCTACGTCGTGTGCTCCTACGGTCTCTAGGGTGCAATCGTGTAGATCGGCAAGTCCTTGGGCTACTGGGCTTTTCTTATTTTTCGCGTATTTTACTGTGATTGGTAAACCTTGGAGAGTCAGTGCCCAATTGGCTATTCGGCTGCTGGTCACGCGGCCCTCCCGAATCTTCTTGCTGTTGAGATACGCCAAGGATTCATGATTTGTTTCCAAGATGATCTTTTCCCCATTCAACAAGTTCCGAAAATGTTGTATAGCCCAGATGTTTCCGAATATTGCCTTCTCACATTCGGAGAATTTTGTCTCTACTCCCCGGAGTGCTTTACTGGCATAGGCAATAATTTGTTTCTCCGTCTCTTGTCTCTGGTACAGTACCGAGCTGATACTGTGGTCTGAGTAGGCAGTCTCTAGGTAGTATTCCTTTCCTTTCTCGGGAAAGGCTAGGCAGGATGCTCTTGTGATCTGTTGTTTCAATTCTTTTTCTGCAGCTTCCTGTTCTGGTCCCCACTCCCATGGCTCGTCCTTTTGTAGTAGTTTGACTAAGGGTCGAGTGATCCCTGCATAGTCGTCCACGAACTGTCGGAGGTAGTTGCAGATTCCCAAGAAACTCCGGAGGGTCGTGACTGTGTTGGGCGACTTGAGTGCGAGGAGGGCTTCGATTCTGTTTGTTTGGGGTAGCAATCCCTCAGTGCCAATCTGATACCCAAGATAGTCAACCCTTTTCCGTGCCCATTGCCCTTTTTGTATCGAGATTTTTGCTCCTGCTTCTTTTAGTTGTTCAAGGGTATGTTGGAGGCTCTTGAGATGTTCTTGCCATGAGGAGTCCTTGACTAGTATGTCGTCGACGTAGACGATGGTGCCTCGCTCTTTTGCGTCGCCCATCGCCTTGTGGAGGAATATGTTGAAGTCTGCAGGTGAGTTCGAGTATCCGAACGGGCAGCGATTCCAAGTATACTGTATTCCGTCGAAGGTGAAGGCCAACTTGTATTGATCGGTTTCTTTTACTGGCATGGTCCAGAAGCCATTTGCTAGGTCCATTGTGGTGAGTACCTTTGCGCCTTTTATTTGGTTGAGACCGTGGTCGATTTCTGCCATGGGCCATCGAGATAGGGGAACTGTTTTATTGAGTTGTCGGTAGTCGATCGTGAGTCTCCATTTTCCCGTGGGTTTTAGTACTGGCCAAATGGGTGAGTTGTAGGTCGAGTTGCATTCCCGGATTATGTTCTTTTTGAGTAGGTTCTCTAGGGTTTCTTGGATCGATTCATAGGCGGCCAGTGGAATCTTGTATTGCTTCACGTATACCGCTGGTGCTCCCTCCAGTGTGGGAATAGATACCACATGTAGGTCGGTTTTGCCACAATCATAGGAGTCTTTGGAGAACAGGGAGTTGTATTTTTGGAGCAGTTGTCGTAGCTCGTCTCGTTGAGTGTCGCTCTCTAGGGCGTCTGCTGTTTCAATTTGTTGTTCTATTTGTTCTTCTATTGTAAGGACTCTTTTCTCTTGGTTTGGATCTAGGGCCTTCGTGGTTTCGGGCGGCTCAGTTTGGTGTTTTCTTTGTGTTAGTGGTGGCTGGATCGCCTTTGCTTCACTCGAAGGGGGTGAGCTCTTGCCCTTGGGCTCTCCCTTTGTTTCCTGTTCACTTGTTTGGCCACTAGTGGGCTGTCGATATTCTCTGGAGTGATGGTCCTTCGGAAAAACCGGCCGTGGGTCGGCTTCATTAAGGTCCTTTTCCCGTTCGTTGGTTATCAGTTGAGTGGTACGTATTTCAGCCGAAATCTTATTTTTGTCTTTGATTGTCGGTGGCAGGTCGTTGAGTTCTTGTGCTAGCACCTGGGTTCCTGTGGGGCTTCGTTCTTCTTCTTCGTCCTCTGGATCTCTAGGCCATTCCGGTATTGATTGTGCCCAGATTTGTCGGGATCCAAGGTTCACAATGGGTTTTAGCCGATTCAGTAGTTCGATCCCAATAATCAGTTCTTTTCCTGGGTATTGTACGACATATAGTGGATGGTTCATGTTGATCCCGTTGAACGTGAGCTTCATCATGACTTTGCCCAAAGGTCGCATGTGGGTCCCTTCGCATCCTGAATAGGTAAGCTTACTTGGCATCATCTGTAGTGCTTCATTTTTCCGCTGGAGGGCAGTCTGGAGTTCGCCAAATAGGTGATCGGAAATCATTGATATTTCTGCTCCGGTATCACACAGGCCCTGGCTGGTCAGAGTGTCTTGAAGTCTTACTTCCAAGTGGACTCGTCCGCCCGGTCCTACAGGAATTAGTTCTCCCAGATGGTGACCTCTACCCTCGGGTATCACCTCAGTGGCTGCTTCGGGGTTTCTTGAGCTTCCGATGTTCACTTGGGCTATCTTTGCGTTGGGTGCGTCCTCTTCCTGCATGTGTTCTATTGATGTCCTTGCCTTTGCTGTTTGCATGGGAGTCTTCCTGTTCTCTAGGGGTTCCCTTTCCATCCGGATGTGGTGAGCATATCGATTCCAGTTGGTTGGTGGTGGTCTATGCTCTATGGCTAATGAAGATGGCAGTGGGAGGCGGTATGGTGATTGGTTTGGTGGGCGTCGGCCTCCCCGGGGTGTGGGTGGTCCATCGTTCGCTCTCCACCCCCCGTGGTTGTTCCAGGATTCGCTTGTGTCGGCATTCCCTGGTGGTGGTTGTCGCGGGTGCCAGCTTACTCTTGCCTCGTCTTTAGATCCATTGTTCAGTGGTTGGCCGGTGGATGTTGGTTCTTGTCGGTTTGGCGCCCTCTCCTGGGGTTTTCCATGTTCGTCCCGTGTGATGTTGCTGTTGTTTTCAGGGGGTTCGCTTCCCTCTAGGTCGAGGCGTTCTTTATCCTTGGTGACGATATGTGTTTTGACTATGTTGGTTGTCCTCCGGCCGTTCACCCAGGCCGTGTGGGCCTTGCTTTCTATCTGGCGTAGGGAGGCCGTTTCGGGGTCTAACATCATTCCTACTATTCTCATGATTTCTGGCCTCAGTGATTGGAAGAACATCACTTTTAATATTTTCCCTTCTTCCTGGGCGTTGTCTACGTTGCCTGCGTAATATGCTCTCTTGAGTCGGAGGAGGTAATCTCGTGGGTCTTCGTCTGCACGTTGCGTCATTAGTTTTGCCGCGTTCAACCCTTCAGATAGAGTGGAGTATTCCCCAAATCTTTTAATTACTGCCTGGCTTAATTGTTTGAAATCGTTCTTGACTCTGTGTGGCAGGGAGGCTACCCATGGTCTGGCATGTTCATGTAAGCTTCTTGACAATAAGCAGGCTTTTTCCTCTGACTTACCCAGACCCCGGATCTTAGCCTCCTGTCTTACAATAGCGATGTGAATGTGTATATCTCGATTCTTGTTCTGTGGATCAAAATAGGGAATCCTCACGAGCGCTTTGTCCATTAGCTTGAGGGTTTTACTGTTGAAAGAGTGTTGGTCATCATCGGTGGCGTCGGTTTCCGAGGAGTGCTCACTCGAGTCGTCTCTGCTGTCGCTGCTATCGCGTTTCCTTTGTCTGTGTCGTGGTTTCGCTTTATCTGACGAGTCGTGTCTGTCTCTTGGCTTGTTCTTGTGTTTCTTATGTTGGTCTCGTGTTGGCGTGCGTGGTCTTCTTGATTCGTGCCTATGTGGTGAGTGTTTCTGAGCTCGGCCTTCACGCCGTCCACCATGGGTGTGGTGTCTGTTCGGCGAGGTGCTTAGATTCCGATGTCCTAGCCTGGTGTTTGATTTATGTTGGTGCCGTGCGTCGTGACTGTCGTAATCACTGTGGCTGTCGTCTGTGGTGCGGGTCGGTTTTTTTTTGTGGGTTTTGCGTGACATGTGTTTCTCTGGTGAGCTGTCTGCGCTATCTGGTTGGTCATGCTTGCGTAGTGCGCGTCCCTCTCGCGAGTGATTTCTGTTGGTGGTTCTACGTCGGTCGTGTGTACGTGTCGCGTGTGTTTCTGGCGAGCTGTCTGCACTGCCCGGTTGGTCATATTTGCGCAGGGTGCGTCTTTGTGGTGAGTGATCTCTGTGGTTGGTTCTGCGTTGGTCGTGTGTGCGTGTCGCGTGTGTTTCTGGCGAGCTGTCTGCACTACCCGGTTGGTCATATTTGCGCAGGGTGCGTCTTTGTGGTGAGTGATCTCTGTGGTTGGTTCTGCGTTGGTCGTGTGTGCGTGTCGCGTGTGTTTCTGGCGAGCTGTCTGCACTACCCGGTTGGTCATATTTGCGCAGTGTGCGTCTTTGTGGTGGGTGATCCCTGTCTTCGAGTTGCTCGTGTTCTTTTTTCTCCGTTTTTATTTGTACTGCATATCCTGCCAATTTTTTTTTTATTTTTCCTTTCCCTCCAGCTTTGGGGTCGTCAGTCTCAATTTGTTTTGTCTGTATGTCTCCCTCCCTTCTCTCGAATTGTGAGGGGTATTCTTTGTGACGGATATTTTGATCGATACCCATACTTTTTGTGTGATCTGTCCCAGGATTGCACCCCCGTGGGTCGAAGTGTGACAGGCTGGTGATCCCGCTTGTGTGCTGTGTGTCAACATTTGTGGTTTTTGCCAATGTCTCTAGGTAGTGTACCTGCTCATCCAGGCGGGCTTGGAGGCGTTCTACCTCGTTTTGCATACTCCGTTTTTCAATTTTTTCCCTTTCATATCTTTCCTCATTCCAGGCTCTTTCTCGGTCTGTTTGTCGGAGGAGATACGAGTCTAATCTCGCTATTTCCGCAATTTTCACATCATGTTCGCTTTTGGCACATTTTATCAAATCCTTCAGAAGTATTGTTCGGTGTATCTTAATGTCGTCGATACAGCTCCCTTCTCATACGTCTCTATGCCTATCCTGCTCTGTGGCAGTCCGGCCTGTGCGTTGCAACACAATTTCCCGATAATCTTCCTCTAGTGAGTCCGTCGTCCCTCGGGAGGACTGATCCCCGTTATTGGGGTCACTCATTTGGGTACCAGTCTTAGAACCTTGTGAGTCGAATTCCGTTTTCGTGGACTCGAGAATTTATCTTAGCCTTAACATTTCTCGCGTGGCGTCAGCTGCCCTGACATCCCTTTTCAGAGTACTTGTAACAGTTGTATCAGAAAATGTAGTCAGTTTGACTCGAGTTATTCTGTTATTTTCCGATTCGGAGTGCGTACCTCTAACACCATTTATCACAGGATGCAATTGGTTTGATACGATATTATCTTAATTCCACTGTCTCTGTTTTAACCTGCTATTCTGGGTTTTAACCTTAGAGGGCGTTTTTTGTTTTCCGCCCGTTCACAATTACCATGCAATGTTCGATCCTGATATTCTGGTTAACGCGAAGTGATTCATTCCATCATCCATGCAAAACACTGTCTGTGAGAGATCCCGGACGAGCCCCCATTATGTTGTATGTCTTGGAATTATGAAATTTGATGAAAATAATAAAAATTAATAATTTTCCGAAAAATGCGCAAATCGCATTAATTATGATAGTGTGTGTATTAATACGCATAAATTATGATAATGCGTGTGATTATATGCATAAATTATGATAATCGTAGTAATTTATGCGGAGGCTTGCGATTATGTTAATGTGTGCAGTTACGATAATTTGCTTAGTTTCGTTTATCCAGGGTTATCAATCAGGATAACACGATTATCATAGATTCATTTACCGATTATCCTAGTGTGTGTTATAATATTTTAGGTCTCCATTTTCATATCTCATCACAGGATACAGTTGTCAAGAATAAGACAGTTTTGCATGGACTTGGAAGGAACACTCGATATGCTTCTGGATTACAATTTTATTCTAACAAGCACGTGACATTCTATCATGCAGGTCAAACATGCGTCAATAATTCATGGGCAAGATTATGCAATTAACTAATATGAACGACAAAAACTTATGCAGTTGTGACATTATGCAATTATGCAATATGAATAACGAAAACTCTTATGCATTTGACTAAAATGAATGAATAAACACTTATGCATTTAGCTAAATTGAATAACTAAAAATTCTTATGCATTTGCGATATTATGCATTAACTAATATGAATAACCAAAACTCTTATGCAATTACGAGATTATGCATTTGACTAAAATGAATGAATAAACACTTATGCATTTAACGAACTGAATGACTAAAAATTCTTATGCATTTGCGATATTATGCATTAACTAATATGAATAACCAAACTCTTATGCAATTACGAGATTATGCATTTGACTAAAATGAATGAATAAACACTTATGCATTTAACGAACTGAATGACTAAAAATTCTTATGCATTTGCGATATTATGCATTAACTAATATGAATAACCAAACTCTTATGCAATTACGAGATTATGCATTTGACTAAAATGAATGAATAAACACTTATGCATTTAACGAACTGAATGACTAAAAACACTTCTATCAATTGTAACCTCTACTTTTCTACCAGGCATCATTAGTTCGCCCATGTATTGATCACAATCGGCGACTGGTCGAGTTTGAAAACAAGCATGACACACTTCATATGGCGGTAATAAAAAGCACTTATTGTATCCCAGAGGCGAAAGTATATGTCAATAGATTCATCGGCAAGTCTAAAATCCTTTTTAACGGAATGTTTGATACAATGGTGGTGAGGGCGTGTGGGCGCGAGAGCGAATCTGGCTCTGTTGTAATTAATTCTTCGGCGAGACTCTGGGACAAAGGAAACTGGTTTGACAAGATATTCTCTCTCTGTGTTCGGTCGATTCGTAATGAGGATTCCGAGAGTTTGAGTTTGCCTTGACGAGTCTATTGATCGCCTATGTGATGAGCGGAACAAGGGAAAGACACGGTAACAACTTTACTCTTTTAACCGACGGACTCTTAATCACTCGATGGGCCGCGATTCCGCATGGCCAGCTGATGGTTCATGTAGTTGATAATCAGTCTTCTGATAATTGACTAGGGTTGATACGATGGTAAGGGTGAACTAGATGGGATAGTCTCACAGGTGAGTGGGGCGTCAATGCGTGCGTGTGTGGGTCTATTGGTGGGGGAAGTTGTGGGTACGAACGACTTTCGGAGAAGGACCCTCTGGCTTGCGCAGCTGCGGTGAGAGGGTGAGCGGCTCGCTTTCCGACTCCTTTCTTGGCTGACCCCGTACGATGACTGACGCGCGGCCACGCTCGTTTGCGTGGTCAGGCGATGCACCTCGGCGTGGCGACACGGCAGGGGAGCTGGACTCGTACACTCGTGTGCGGCAGGCGATGCACCTCGGCGTGGTGACACGGCAAGGGCGCCTGGCTCGTACACTCGTGCGCGGCAGGCGATGCCTCGGCACCGCGCGATCCTCGTCCTTCTGGATGACGAAAAGCTTCTTCGTTGGCGGCGACGAGGAGAGATGGTTGTCGCCCTGGAGAACTCTGGTGGGGCCTTAGCCCGGAGACGAGATGAGATGTAGGCCGGAGCTCGTGAAGATCTGTGGTGGAGCCGAAGATGGGCTCGTAGCCCGGATGATATGTGTGTTGGAGCCGAAGCCCGGACGATATGTGATGGGGGCCAAAGCCCCTGTCGATCTGAGTTGTATGGATTTTCCTTCGGTTTATATCGGAAAATTCCACTCGGCTCCCCGAGTTGTTCAAAAGCTGTGTCATAAAACCTTCCTGTGGGGGTGGACCATCTGCGTCCGTGTGTGTGTCCGTTCGTGTGTTTCGCGTGCGTGTTTGTCCGTGTGTTTATTAGCTTTGAAGACACAGCTGTGTGTGTCGTTCTGGAAGAAAGGGGGTGGGGGCCTCGTGTCGGCTGCTTCAGAAGTTATCCATTAGCCAGACCGATGATTCGCGTTGAGTTAAAAAAAAACATTCGAATCCATGTTTTGTTACTGAATAACATTTGTCGCGAAAACCTACGCGTTAAGCGAGCTTAACTATTCACTCCCTTGCTCTGGGATCACATCCTTTGTCTCACACAGCTTAAGTTGGTTTGGTTTGGAAGTTGAAATGCGACTTATTTGCTGCTTGGTTATGCCGAAACAGTGTTCACGATGTTTCATCGTGACCCGATCTCCCATGGAAATGTCATTTCCTGGTTTGTGCAATTTTTGCTGTCCGTGTTGTGGGAAGACAAAGGCGGTTGTTTCCACGGTGGGAGCACCCGGCGTGTTTATTTATTCGAAGGCGTGTGTTAATTCCCTTTGAGCCCTTGCCCCAACTTTTATGGGTGTCATTTCCTGGCTTGGTGCCTGTGTGTCGTGATCCTCTCGGAAAGACAAAGGCGGCCGTGTTGCTCGCTTCCCATGGGTGTTGTGTTTGGTTAATTTTGAGAGCCTTCTCCGCCCTTGATTCCTCTTCTACTTTAATTCCGTACTTATTATTTGACTTCTTGTGATTATTTGATCTGATATCCCGGCTAGGAATTTTGTTTTGGAGCGAAATCGATGCCATAATTATTCTTTGATGCTTCGGCCCGGCCGTGTAGATATTCTTTAAAGGTAAATAATGTCAGTATTTATTAACAATGATGGGTCGCGATTCTGGTTTTGATTGTCGTCTGGTTTTCAATTGGAGTGAGGATGGATACTGTTTGCTTAATCTTTATGGTTAAGTTGGTAACTTGTGTATTTAATATGGTTCAAGGACCCATCTGTGCTTTTTGTCGTCGATGCTGTTTCTTTGTTAAGAATATAATTATCTCTTCCTCCGTGTCTCCTGGTTCTGCAACCCCCCGCCTGCAATTCCCCCCCTCCCTTGTTCCTCTTGTGTGAATTTAGGGGAGTTTTTTTTTTTATTACCTTATTGCCCCCCCTTTCATGTCCTCTTTCCTTTGAAATGAGGTATGCGCGCATCTGTGGAAGTGTGGGGGCCTCTGTGGAAGTGTGGGGGCGTGTTCGTTCCCACGTGGCCGCGTCTATTAAAAAAAACGATATTATCTATGTTGGCAGAATAATTCTTAAAAAAAAATATTTAAAAAAAATAAAAAGGGGGCATATACACAACAACTACCACTACACTACCACTACACTACCACTACACTACCACTACACTACACTACCACTACACTACCATTACACTAACACTAAACTACCACTACTATACCACTACACTACCACTACACTACCACTACACTACCACTACACTACCACTACACTGAGCATGTTCATACACACAGCAGTGTAACAGGATAACAACGTTTTGTGATTATTTTCACAGGTTAAATATTAGCAAATTATTTTAATAAACAGAATAGACAGGAAGGACAAGTTCAAAGGGCTCGCATAATGCACACGCGTAATGTACATTCCCTCAGTAATCCCCCCCATCCCCCACATTGTGCAAGAGCGCAGCTGCGTGGTCAACACATCTATGCTTCTATATAAGGAACGAAACAGTGAGACTTCCCAAATCTGGCTGTCGACTGATGAGGCTAGTTTTAATTACAGACGAAACGTCGTGCTCAGATTGTAAATGTTGTGGCTTGGCTCTCCAACACACCAGTGTGCTGTACTAGTGACAAATCTGCATGTTCTGTTTACGTGACAATCCGTAGTAGTTGGCTGTGTCGGGTGGTGTCGGGTTTTAACGACACATTTATATATTTAAGCGATCTAACCCAAAAAACCTTTAATATGGGCACTATAATAAACCATGCTTACAAGCTAAACCATTCAGATGATCATTCAAAGTTCACGGCAGGAATTATAATATAAAACACTCGTTTTCTAGAAGCACCCCGCTCAACACGATTGTCCTTAAATATATTTATAAAACAAAGTCAGTACAGTATAAACTTGCACATCTTATTCCAAATCAAGCTCGAGATCA